TGTTCTGCCTTTTACATGACGCCGCAAGTATCGTATGTGTTCTCTGGGATTGAGCTGTTGTAGCCAGAGGGTCATCCGTTACAGTTTACAGGACGAATTCGGGCTATACGATACTATGCCTGGCTGCGAATATTACCATATAGTATTTAAGAAACATATAGGTCAAATCTACGAATTGAACGTAAGGCTGCCTTTTCGAAGGTTTACATGAATTGTAATTTATTGAGGGCGGGGTTTTTGCATAGATCCCTGCTGCACACGTCGATGAGACTATACATCCGATATCTATCCATCATGACATTCGTTGCAAATGCATTTAGGATGGGTTAGGTCGTCATGCAACACTTTGGTTAATTTAGTTCACAAAAAAGTTCGCTGGTTGCGGCGGCCTGACTATTTAATGGATTTCCATGACATCGAGCGTTGCCACGACATGAGGAATTGATATGATTCGGGATTGCATCGCTGGCTACCACGGTAGGATACTACCTCAACATCCCGATTTGTTGCCGATGTATATGATTTGCTGTTTTTCTGGAATGATATTATAGCGAGTGGTTGACACAGTTCGATATTTTTATATGACATCTCTAGAACAATCTGAAGGTACCAAAACGGGCATTGATTTATATATGCCATCATCATCACAAAAAGGTTCCAAGTTTGTTAGTGCTAACAGTAAGTATGGCAAAGGCAAATGGTTCTCGACACACTACAATATTACAATAGTTACAATTTATATGTTACATATCGATAAAGTTTCTGTCTATAGTGTATTGCACTATTCCATATTCAAATACGATTGTAATCCTATATACTAATATAGTATATGATATTATACTAGTAATCAATGAGAGAACAATGTAGTCGGATCGTGTTAGTACTCTTTGTTTAACCGTATGTAGAACAGGCACGATTCCTTCTGTAATGTTTGAAATATTCCCTATTCAAGCTCGATTGAAATCCTACTTACTAATGTACTATACAAAACATATCCGTTTTAGTTTGAAAATGACAATTTTGTATCCATGGAAGCAAGTGTACTACTAATTGAGAGAAAAAGGTTAAAATTGGGTTTCTAAATAAAGAGACTATATGTGAAAAGTATTTTGAATCTCACTAGTAGATCGCTAGTAAGGTGTACAGGTGTGATCTGCGATATGTCGTCGAGGCCGGCCTTGATGTCAGCATTGATGCAGAAACACAATTAGCCAGATTGTAATCGACCAACGACCAAATTCCAGGCGCGACAAACTAGTTGACCAGACAGAATTGTCACAAAAAGTTCAGTATAAAGCTGGGAACCTTTAGAATCTCATCTATTTCCCAAAATCTCAATGATCAAGCAGGAGAGTGTATAGGGCCACGATGTAAGCAAGTAAATCATAATCAATTAGCGTCTTTTTAAAAGCATCAATTCCGCCTAGACGACCGAAATCGAAAGGGTTAAACAGAAATTTTCATGAAGGATCGAAGAACAATTGCATTTTTAGAACCCGACCTTAGACGTCATAAGCAGCTAGTACACAACATCTACTAATATTGCGTAGATATTTGAGATGATATATGCACATATACTGGACTTCAAATACCTCGTATATCGTGGTACATAGCTTATACTGTATTGGGGTGAAATGTGTACAGCTGAACGTATATGAATATAGACAAACATACTCCGGTCAAACGTAGTTCACTAGCCCTAAATTTTGCCTGACAAGTGACTGTCATTGTGCAGTTGCGCTCGAGCACTCGTATTGTCCGTGGTGGTATAATTGCTTGTAAATTTGCGGCATCGAGGCTCAGGCACACGACTTATCTGTGATTATTCTGCGCAACTTACGGCATGTATTGCTGCAAAAAATTGTAATAGATACATGTTAGGTATAGAGAAATATAAGTACTAGAATATAAGTCGAAGTCTATCTCTCGAACACACAAGAAAATGCACTAACTCAACTTTGTTACATTTTACTGTGAAACCGATACTATACAAGTTGGTCAATCGTATGCTGATCACTGAGAGAGGTAGCAATATTGAATTACAGTATAAGCAGATATGTAATTGAAAAATTAGGGATAGCACAGTTTCCCAACAAGTGTCTCAAACGGGGACTGTACTAGAGTATCACAGGAAAAATGTCGACGGCCCGAGGTACGCTCAATGTATCACGGTTGTATCAAGCACAACAGCAAAAAAAAATCATTATCAGATACGACAGCCCTGCTGCATCTGCAAGAATCATATAGGGTTTTTCATCAGTCATAGCTTTCTGACGTTGAAATGAACATAGTCCGCTGATGAGCAATCGATGAGAAGCATCCCAATTGCGACCGACCCTAGTTATAAAGGGTTAATACGCAGCTTCTACAGCAACTCTCATTAAATGTCACCGACATGTTCAAACGCTCTCGGTAACGACCAATTATATATTGAAAGCTTGTAGCAGCGTGACCTCCAAAATAAAGGAAGCCATGAATAAAGTAGAATAATACATATTTATGCATGACTTTGCCAACAGCAACCTAAAACTTGAAGTAAGGCACTATATACAAAATATCGATTAACAGAAAAACATAGTGTCCGTTACGCAGAGCGGGTGATGACGTACTGTAAGTGAGCTTTTCCTCCTGAGGATATGAATGTTTATATTTTGGTTCAATATACGTGATAAAAAAGTAGCAGATGGTATACCCAGGTTAGTGTAATACACCACTTTAAACGTGGAGCCGTCGAGAGTTAGTATATATTCTCGGTTTTCTGTTAGTCTTCCACCTGTATCATGTCTCATGTTAGGTTGTCTATGCATCCCAAAAAAATTGTCCAGGTTTTCCAGTTTGTATACATGTACTCAAAGCAGCTATAAATATCTAATATCGTGTATTGGTGCAGACAGAGGCAGTGTTGTATTTAATACCAACAAATTTCAACAAAGCCAAATAGCTATTCTGGCACCTTACACCACTTTACAGATACCACGTCATACATGCGAAGCCACCTCTTCACATATTTCGTAAGTGTATAATACTCGCTGCATAGTCTTTTTGTGTGTATAGTCGCTACTCACGCGTACACATATTTGCAGTGGAGCAGATATACTCACCAAGGTGACAACGAAATCATCTCTCTTTTTATCAACAATCCACAACGCTATCATTTAGTAGTTTTTGTACGAGAGTCGACAAAAAAATAGCAAACAAATTATGTACCCCTTTCCCATTGCTTATTTGTCTGTGTTCTTGTTTACCCTTTGTAGCCGTCAAAACTTCAGTGTTGTGCACAATTGCAGCTGAACTATAACTAAACAAAGCCTATATATAAGCACGGCCGAGTACAATAAAGCGAGGCCGACTGGATATCAGACTTTATTTATAAGACTGCATCACACACTCGTTTTATCTGAAGAAAATCGAGGCATCCAAACAAAGGTCTAAATAGAAAAAAGTAAGGGCGAAATCCACGAATCGAACGTGAGGCCTGCCGCACCCAAAGCGGCAATCATACCACTAGACCAATTTCGCTTGGTAATTTCTATATAAACTATATATTATTTATAAATTATATAGAAATGTTTCAATTGTATATCAGCCATTTCATCAATTCATCACGAGTGACGCTATTACATACGAGCAAATGACACGCCGGTCAATATTTAAAAAAAAAACCAGAGGTCGTCATATATTTCTATGGATTTATGTCGATACAAAGAATTTTCATGCGACATATTTTTCAGTACTGTATGTACGTTACAATACATAGGTCTGAAGCTAACTTTTCTTCGCCCACTTTTGTTAGTCACATTTGTTCATCCTACCTAAACATCGACCGTCATGACCAACGCTAACGAGCCCATATCACTAAGTATGTCCGTGTCCTTCCGAAGACTGTCTATGTCGTTTATGTACATGTATTCCGGAGATCGATTATGGTACAGTCAAACTCTAAAAGGTTACTTCACTTCCACTCTGCATGATAGAAGTTCGTTCGATTTGTGACGATCAAATGACATGTACTCTTCTTGAAGGTTCTGCTGCTTGCTCATATATAGATGTATGTACGTACATTTGAAACACTATGAACAAGCGTATGTAGCATACACGCATGTTCCATCAAATAATTAACTATTGAACACAAGTGTAGTACAGTGGCGCAGATCACGTGGTTGTAACCGCAAAACACTTTTGAGTGTTTCAGTTGTCATATTTGTGGATTTCTTTGGCGACGTTCTAGATTTAAGCACACCTGCAGCTTAGTTACTAGTAGGTCAAATCTGTGCACATGCTGTTATTCGTACACACTCATAACATAGAAGAATATAACAGTAACTGAGAGGACATGCTCCTTCTCGCGTATGTGCAAGATTAAAGACTCTAAGTGTTGCGGACACTCACATATTGCGACAAATGATGATACAGGCACAATTTGTTGATACGTTGTCCAAAAAAGTTTATGAGAACTTTATGTTAGGGTACCATGGCAGCATGTCAAGTGTGTGATATATTCCGTGTAGATGGCAAGTGTGTGATATATTATGTGTAGATGGCAAGTGTGTGATATATTACGTGTGGATGGCAAGTGTGTGATAAATTCCGAGTGGATGGCAAGTGTGTGATATATCCCGTGTAGATGGCAAATGTGTGATATATTACGTGTAGATGGCAAGTGTGTGATATATTACGTATAGATGGCAAGTGTGGGATATATCCCGTGTAGATGGCAAATGTGTGATATATTACATGTAGATTGCAAGTGTGTGATATATTACGTGTAGATGGCAAGTGTGTGATATATTACGTGTAGATGGCAAGTGTGTGATATATCCCGTGTAGATGGCAAGTGTGTGATATATTACGTATAGATGGCAAGTGTGGGATATATCCCGTGTAGATGGCAATTGTGTGATATATTACGTGTATTGGCAAATGTGTGATATATCCCGTGTAGATGGCAAGTGTGTGATATATCCCGTGTAGATGGCAAGTGTATGATATATTACGTGTAAATGGCAGGTGTGTGATATATTCCGAGTAGATGGCAAGTGTGTGATATATTACGTGTAGATGGCAAGTGTGTGATATATTACGTGTAGATGGCAAGTGTGTGATATATTACGTGTAGATGGCAAGTGTGTGATATATCCCGTGTAGATGGCAAGTGTGTGATATATTGTGATATATTACCTATAGATGGCACAGAGTATGCCTGGGATTGTAAAGTAATATACGCCAGAATAAGGAAGGGTTGCCACATTTAAAACCTTCTCAAATGATAGGATAGCATATTCACGCTTAGGCAGAGAACGGAATGGACCTCAAGAAGGTCTTTTAGTATTGATGGCGTGACGTGCGTCAATCTGCAACACACACACACACTAAACACCGAATTGACCAGTATAAAAAGCCATGCCACATTCGTAGATATGATCTCGTTGAAGCTAAACCAAATATCACCATGATAACAGGCATCTAATGCACTTCTGTGAGACCCACACACCTGAACTAGCACTCAAACGGTGAAGTATCCGCATTCTCACCACCACAGTCGGCAAACCCGGAGAAGACAATGGAATGATCGGAGATGTCGTAAACTCGATATTCCAACCAGGAGTCAACAAAGGACTGCACCAGTTCACCAACTACGCATTCATTGGCCTGTTAGTGGTACTGCTGGCGTTGGGGATCTTCTATGAATTCAACATCCACGTTATGTTCATGCTGGTGCTGTCCACGGGCCTACTGATAGCTATCAACTGGTATGTGGGCGTGCGCTGCTGAATAACACCCACACACACACACACACATAGATACATAGATACACACACGTACACACACACACACATACGCACATACGTACATACACACACAAACACACACACACATACACACACACTGACACGCACACACACACATATATATATTTTACATATATACATATATACATACGTATACACACACACACACACACACA